TCCATCCATCCATCCATCCATCCATCCATCCATCCATCCATCCATCCATCCATCCATCCATCCATCCATCCATCCATCCATCCATCCATCCATCTAACCCGTTTCTTCTTTTCAGGGTCACAGGAGTCACTGTTGCCTATTTCTATTAGGGCAAGGTACACCCTTGACAGGTTGCAAGTCCAGACCAGACACAGGTAAGTAAAAGGTAAGAGCATTTATTCAGTTCAGTGTTAATGAACCGGGAGAGTCCTGTGTGGAAAGATGAGCTGATCAGATACAGGGATCACTGAGGAGGCTGGCTTGGAGAGGAGGGTAAAGATTTCCAGGAGGATGACGAGATGAGGTAAGTGGAGGTAAGTGGCAGAACAGCACACAGAGAGCTGATCCAGGAGAGGGRCCAAAGAAATAGCAGGAGGTGGAAGGCTTATTCAGGTAGGTAAACTGGTTCAAGCGGGGAGTTCCAGAACACAGGTAAGGTACAGGTAGGTATCAGCATGTGTCTTTAACACACACAGGAAAAGCAAGGTTACTAAGAGAAATCTACATAAATGTTAAAGAGCTGTCACTTCTGTTACTGTAGCCAACAGACTGTTCCAGCGAGGTTTGGTTGTATCTCAGGTGCTGAGGAATTCATCAGTGTGGATCAGCAGCAGGTGAGTGAAGCTGACTCCGCCCCTGCCACTCAGGAAGCTTCAGGAAGAAATCAGCAGCCAAAAAAAACAAAACAAAAAAAAAAACAGAATCTTAAACAGAAGCTATTAGCCTATACAGTTTGTGCAGTTTGAATGCAAACATCATTACATTTCTACTGGAATAAACCAGTCAAAAAAGATTAATGGTGACGTAAACATTTTTAGAATAGGGTTTGTTTAATGCACTGTGAGACTTACAAGATCAGATTTGGCAGCATTGAAGGGATCGTCATTCAACTCAGATTAGTCATCGACCATCTGTCCAGGAAGAAAAACATTAAATTTCTCCAACAAAGGTTGCTCATATTAACATTTACAATGGTTTGGAAAATAACCGAACCTCACAGAACACTACCAAAAGAAATCTGAACTATCCCTTTAACTAGCCACTTTACTTCTGTATTATATAACTGAAAACAAACAAACAAACAAAAAAAAAACCAAAACAAAACAGCAACGCATCACTAATAGTTCACAGGTTTTTGATTCGAGCTAGTATAAAAATAATGAACATGTTATACTATTATAGTTATATATTGGAGGATGTACAATAGATAAAATACTGATTAGACTTCAGTCAAATAAGGAAAAAATAGCAATCTAACTCCATTTCTGTTGTGACTAAGTGCCCAACCACTCAAAAGTTTTTCTCAGCACAAAAATAATCATTAGACAAATTACACATGAATCCTGAAATAGAAGGAGGAAGTAATCATGCGTTTATGTGTAATGACGCTTTAATGATTGCACCCCCCCCCCCCATGCAGCCTACACAGGAAATCTAAGGAAACAGTAACTCGCTCCTCTACTGCCAGAGCCTCTTCTACTTTCCCTTCAAAACAACCGGCGACAGAGAAAAATCACCGTGGTTTTAGAGTAACTGGGGCTGGCCGGATCCGCTGCGGGGAAATCCATGTTTCACCACAGCTGACCACACACACCCACTCGTCTGGATTCCACAGCTTGACCTCAAACAAGCCAACACCGACTTGTGACTGCTCGTCACACAGGCCAACACAAACAGCACCAACCTGCCACCCACACAGCCTTAGATACACCGAGACTTCGTTTGACCTTGTAGAAGGATAAACACACAGTCACATTTGAAGTCCATGTCCGCAAGCATGCAGCAACACAGCAAATCCACAAAAACACAAGGGTGTGTTAGAAAAGCACAGTTTACACAAGTAAGCATATACAGGAAGGCTTTTAGGCAAAACTCAAACAGTTTTTTTTTCTGTTGCATGAGTTGAATGTTTTCTAATCCACCCTTGTGGTGTTATAGTCATCACTAACATGACAAACAAACCGTTCAACCCCACCACTAAAGCAAGTTTCTATTTGAATGAGCAACAGGGCTGGTGCTAACCAAATTGGCTTGCTAGACTAGATTTCAGGTGGTGCCCCGCTTGTGCACTTTACCAAATGTTACTACCAGTTTAGATACAGTCACATAGCAAATTAAATAATTTTGTCTTTAACAGTATATTTTATATTTAGGAACCAGGTTGTCCAAATAAAATAGTTCAACAATATAATTCATCTGAAACAGAGGACTACCTCATATCTGCCAACATTTGCTGACAGCAGTGAGAAACACCTGTTTATGTTAATGAGCAGCTGTGGAGTGAAGCAGTTCTAGAGGGGTCCAGGGRTATAATCTGTAAAAGATTTACTCAAAWCTCTGCATTTTCCAGCTRTTTGAARATAATTTTACTAAATTCTTGGGCTAAATAAAACAACATAAAATCAGTATTTTATGAAGGTTGAACTCTGAAAACTAGATTTKAACCTGAACTTTWTT